TGTTGGCTGATTTCTAAATCTATACATGATATTTCTGCTGCCTGCTTTTCTTAATGAGCAGAGCTTCTTGGTTGAGGCAGTAATTCCCAAATGATTATTATAAAAGAAAAAAAATGGTCCTGATCATCTGTCTGGTGAGTAATGACCATCGTTATCATTATAGACAACCCATCAGGAGTCATTGGGTTTTCCGCCAGCTCCGCCTGAGGAAAAAAAAATTAAATTTCAACTTAGAGATTGATCCCAGATGCTAAACAATACAGGATGGACCAGATCTGTGCATCAAGCAATGCCAGCAATTTAAATTCAGTTAAATAAGTTTGTTAAAGGGACGGTATGTAATATTTTAATTTAAAAAAATGTATGTGTCCACATGAACACAGAAGTGGTTTCCTTTCTGAACTTTTTTCTGAGGTGAATGTTTATAGTAGAGTTATTCTTAATTAGAAATACATGGACCATTGTCCGGAATATTGATGTGAATATCGATGTTGATAGAGAAAGACACTCTCATTTGGGTTGCCAGATTGTTGGTGAAAATAGCTGGTTTTGGCTCAAGCAAAATTTCAATTATAACAAATCACACCACAAATTTGTTCAAATTGAGGCAAGTACAAAAATAAGTAGTTACACAGAATTTGTACTGTTTCTAGCCAAACTCCAGAAGGTGGATTGCATCAGTAATCAAGGCAAGGCAAGGCAAGTTTCACAATTCACACACAAGGCAAATCAAAGTGCTGAACAAAATAAGAAAGCATTTAAATAATAAATAATCACATAACATTAAAAAGAAAGATAAAAATATAAAATCCCTCAGTTGTATGCACAGCTAAACAGAACTGTTTTTAACCTGGTTTTAAACATTGTCAGAGAGGATGCCTGTCTCACACTTTCAGGAAGACTGTTCCAGATTTTAGCAGCTGATTTTTAATCAGTGCATTTGCCACAGGCAGGAAGATGACTTTTGCTGTAACTTTTCTTTGATGGCAATCTCTTTTTCTTTCAATTGTTGTTGTTGAGAAAGAAGAATAATGTGTATTGTAGTATTTTGGTTTTGTATTCTTCTGGCTTGTGAGAAAAAGTGTATGTTGCAAAGAGGGGTGTTGCTTAACTCCTAGGTCATGTTATGTTTCTATATCAGTCGAATGGAAAAGCAGCCTCTGGTTTGAATATCACTTTCGCCCTGACACGCACACTGCAGTGTTTTCACGTCTCACGTTTGATTTATGTGCTTTGCAGTATAGAAAATAAATCACTGTGTCCAACATATCAGTGATTCTGTCCTGTTTTGCAATGTAACAAAAGATTGACTGAGAAAACGCTGACTTTTTTTAGCAAACATTTGCAGTCAGTCCCTGAATACTCTGCTATATCTAAAGTCTATGGCACATACTGTATGAATTTACGTAAACACAAGTAGCACTGTTCACACTGACCAATACAGGATGCACATGTGACATTCATACAGTGCCACCTGCAGCTTCTATTCATGAACATAAACTTTCCATAAAATTGATGGACCATGATTTGAGCCATCAAAATGGTTACAAATCACCACATGACCCAACCTCTTGGATGCACCTCCCCCACAGCCTGTAGGAGTGGACTATCCAAGTGCTGACGTCCCCCATAGTGTTTGCTTGATTGCTGACTGATGTAGAGTTAACTCCAAACAGGATCTTTGTTTGAACAATATATTTGGATACAACTTCCTCTAATCCTTCGCCAAAACACTCTCCTTCACTTTGAGACAAGTGAAGACTTACATAATATCAGGATATGGGCGAGGTCCTCACATATTGTCCAATATGCCCAGGACCTATGTTTTGTTCATGCTTGTTTCTGTCCTGGTTCAGATAAGACAAGGGTTCACTTAGGGCCTGAAGTGTGAACACTTCTTTGTCAGCCATTCACTGCACGAGAGCCAAAAACCTTTTACCCCTGCACTATCTGAGTTCAAACTCTTTTTAAAATCACAAATTCTATGAAGATCTACTGTCTGCGCTCAGAGAGAAATGCTGCGTCACAAGAACTATTTGCATACACGCTGGAGATAGCGCCCTTTATCCTTTCTGTTTATATTCACTTGCCATATATAATTACACTTTGTTTTGGAAAACTGGTACATAGATGCACTCATGATTAAGTCGTTAAGATAAATGTCACACAGGGCTTCAGCTGTGGAAGTTTCCTTTATGCTCCCACAGTAATGCAAGCGTCACCGCCTGTTGTCAGTAGTTAGGAGACGGAGAAGAGAGAGGACAGCTGACACAACACCCAGGTCTTCCCTCAGCAGCCACCAAATGTGCGTGTGCATGTGAGCGGGTATCTGTCTATGTGGAGACTACAATCTGTACACAGCCAAGTTATGGAGACATGGCATCCTTTTGAGGACAGAGAATTTTCCAAAAATGGTTCAAAGTGACAGTTCACATTAAGATGGCGATGAAGATGAAGATGAAGAGACCCTTTATTTGTCCCACAGTGGGGAAATGTCAGTGTTGCGTCACCGGTTACAGAACAGTAGAAATAATAATAAGAAGCAAGAAATAGGTATAAAATCTCTGACTTTATCATAATCAGAATTAAGTATTAAAGTATGTAAAGCTAAAGTCTATCTATAGCATAACGAAGAAGCAAGTTTAAAGTCATTTTATATGTTAGCAGCATGAGGGTATAGGACAAAGTGACTGATAGTGGACACATGCGGTTTCATAAACGCAAATGTTTTAGTTTACGGTTTTGTAAATTGTTATTTTTGGCAGGAGAAAGGCTTATGGAAATAAATGTAAGCATGTATTTGACGTCAACAAAGCTCAAAAAGTATGTATGCGTTGGGGAATCCCATCCTGTGCTATCTTCCCTGGATTAAAGGCCTGTTAGGATAAATATGCTCTCAGGATATGTTGACAGAGGATTCAAAAGAGGCTGCACATGACTTTTTGATTTGGTCACACTTGTTCTTGTCCGTCAGTACGTTCGGTGCGCTGTTAAGCTGCGTTTAAAGCTAGACTAATTGTACAACTGTCTGTCCTTGTCCAAGTTTTACTGATTCTGCTGCGACAGGTGGAGCGTTTGTTACCAAACAACTCCCTTCTTTACATTTTATATCAGCATATATAAGTATCAAATTCATCTATTATATTCTTTTGACATTTTGACAAACAAGTTGAAGAATATAGGCTCAGTTTCAACTTGATTTGTGGTCATGCTTTTGTTTTTAATTTTTACTTCAAATTTCAAATAATATATTTTTCAATTACCACAGTTTCCTTAGACCTGTCAGTGTGGGCAGTGTGGACATGACAGAGAGATTCCTGGTCCATCTGTGATTTTTGGCATGCATGAAGTGCTGTTAAGTCGATGAGGGCTAGAGAGCCGGCCTCAGGCTCAACAGCTAAAAGTGAGGATTAAGGAAGGGTATTCTCAATCAGTGACCTTCAACTTCACCTAGCCGGCCTTCAAGCGCACATACTTGGAGAGCCAGTTAGGGTGACACTATCTGAAGAACAAGGAGACCTGGTGACTCCATAATAACATCATAAATCTATTATAATATATTACTTAATTATAGCTTGAGTTTGATTTAAGAACAAAGGGACATTTAATGCAATGCATGTGTTTACAGAGAATATATACAGTAGATAATTATAGAATAAATAATTGACACAGTCATCTCAACCTTTTGAGATTATTATGGGAAATTAATCACTAATCTACGTATTTTATATGAGTCCCCAGATATCAGGTTACATCAACAAATCATAATTAGCTATTTCTGAACCAAAATTCATTGTAATAAAAAATACAGTGGACTTTTTTTTGTTTAGCAAAAATAGTTAAAGTAGCAATATGTAATATTTGCATGTCAAGTCATCATTATATGGCCCCAATATTTCAAAAGGCATTATTAAATCATGTTGCCACAACTCCTCGCGGCTAATCTCAGTGGTAAAATAACATGTGGCCGCAGAACTAAAAAATGGCTTGTTATGACTCTCAAATCATTAATGACAAAACAAAGACTAAAACGAGGATTTATATCGGGACGCCTTTGAAAAATTGAGACAGCAGAAAAAGTTTTTGTGTGATGCAAAGCTTGCTGGATTCAGACCGTTTTCCTCCGCCCTATCTATCGTGTGTATAAGTAGCCTAAATAATGGTTTAGCCACAGAGCTTACGTTGCAGCGACCTGGGTTCGAGTCCGGGCTGTGTCTACTTGTGTTTATTTGCATAATATTACATTTTATGACAGATTGCTCAAAATCAGGTAAAAGACCATAATCAAGACGTTTTTTTTGCAGATTATAGCTTATTTGTAAAAAGAATAATTTGAGACCACATGTACCCAATTAAAATAATGTTTGTCTCTATTTGATGTGGGACCCTAAATAATAGGGAATAAATAAAATTGAAGGGTGATATCCTCTGGAGGAAACCCTGATGTTGATACGCTGAAGAAATATGTTCCAACTTCCTAACCTGGTGTTGGTATTGTTATAGTGCTTTCTTCTCAACACAAGCACAAATGTTTCTCAGGAATGTTATTCTAAAGTATACAAATCGCTAAGATCGTCCACACAAATCACTTTGTCCCTGATCAGTAAGCCCAAATATGAGCTACAGCCTAAAGGCTCGATAATGTATGTGGGACTTTTATATTGGCCCAGGGCGGTACATTTAGCCCTCAGCTAATAAGTATTCTCAGCGGCTGAATTGGGGGTAGTGTCCCTCCGTGCAGGGACCGCTGCGTGTGTCATGGCATTCACAGGGAAACGAGAGACAGATGCTTGGCGTTTGACGTGATCCTCAGAGGAACAGTGCGGAGCACCGGTCTTGCAGAGAGCTGCTGTCTTCGTTCATCTGATTGACGACATGTTCTACTCAAACTCATTCTCTCGGGCTGCATAGCTGTCCACTCCGCTGCTCAATGGTTAACTGTTCCTCTTGTGTTGTCTCTCTGATCCACAACCCACTGCTGCTCAGGACGCCGGTCCAGCATGACCACCTCTCCCAGCTCCACCAGCGGCTTGGAGGTCCTGCTGTCCACTCTGCAGGTAGGACACACATCAGCACCAGAATGTTAGTCAGTACCATTATTTATACTATACTTTACTACTACAATAGTTCAACTAAGTATAGTATGATACTGATTATACAAAGATTGAAACTATACTGACACTGTGTACTTTGACCTATACTATACTCTACTTAGCGCTGTAATTGACAATAGTAACCTTTCTAGGTCTAGATGATCTCCTTTTACAGTAAGATTGAGAGACGATAATCATCCAATCTTTCTTTTTAAATTACTGTTTTGGAGAAAAACTCTTCCATAAGGCTTTGCTTATATATATATATATATATATATATATATATATATATATATATATATATATATATATATATATGAGATATATGAATATGAATCAATAAAAATGTTTTTCTTGTTTTTTCCTAGATTGCCTTGCCCTAACTTTACTTATACTATATTTTATTTGTATTGTCCTAATTCACAACAGCAGTGGAATCGTATTAGAATCAAACAATTAGAATAAAGGAAATCCAATAATAAGAAACATAAAGGAGCAGTTGGTCCATTGGGCAGTAGAATGACTAATGTCCATAACTGACCTGAGACCCTCCTGCATCATGTTATACTACATACTACTGTACTTTACACCTTTGATTCTCATAAAAACAATTTTTTTCACACTTAACTCATTCTTTACAAAATATTAGTGAAATCACAAAAAAGCCCATATCCTTTGTTGCAGGTTTTACTTCCTGCATTTCATTATTTTGACTTGCAATGTATTTTAAAACTAACGCTCTGGTTGTAAATCTTTTGAAATAATTGTATTCAATGCTGATGTCCACAGCAACATGCTGATATGTTGTTTGAATGCTGTTAATATTGTGGGTTTACACAAATTCTTAAATAGGTTTAATATTGATGAACTTTGTTGTATCTTATTTAGCTTGTTTTGAGGGATTCTTTTATTTCTACTGTTCTGTAACCTGGGCTGCAATACTGACATTTCCCCACTGTGTGACAAATAAGATCCTCTTATTTCTTCATATCTCGAAGAACTTTTAAAATCTAACATTTGCATATAGTATAATATCTGAACTCTGAACATTGTAAAGTACTTTGTGTGACCTTGGTCAATACTAGATTAGAAAAGCACACCATTAAAACACTAGCTGATCAAAAATGACAACCAGATTAATCAATGAATTAATTCTTTAGGCGACAGGGCATTGTCATAACTTTCGTGTGAAACATGATTCCCAGTGACTTTATGAGACTGAAATAAATGACAGAAAAAGTAGTAAAAAGTTTGTGGGAAGCCAGATCACTGTAGAATGTGTCCAAAATTCAATTCTCCTACTTTGGCAGACAGCCACATAACTGAATAAATGCATATGGACTTTAACTAAAGAGGAGGAACACAAATCAGGAAGTAATCTAGATTTCTGCGTGTGTTTACTACGTCAATGACATACAAGACGAGCCTGTGCATAACCTGCAGTCTTGAGTATACCACACTCAGGTTATATGTCTCCAGGGATAAGTTTTCCTGCAGCTATCAACACTAACAAGTTCTGAAGCAGCTGATACTGAATCTGCTTCCTCCCCATGAATTTATCCATGCTTAATCCCTGCCAAGGTCAGGCTCAGAACGAAACATTAACACCATCTTCAGAAGCCTACAATCTTCACCCCTCACAATCTTCAGCTTACAATGTCGCCCAAAAGCAACATTTACTCACATAACCATAATACTCAGTGGGGCATCTTTGCTCCAAAATGTAGGCTCCCAATAAAGGAATGTGCCCAGAGTTTGAAAGGGGAGGACTTATTCTTAGAGCAGTGTACATGTATCCAATGTGCTTTAAAGCAAATCCATTCTGAATATTTCTTATATCAAGTGATCATGACCTGGGTTGCTGTCGACATTACACCAAAAATAACTGTGGTTTCACAAATGAAACTGCATCTGATAGAATGATTTTGAGGAGTAATAACAGAGGACACTCAAAGACGCGTCACATGGGATTTTTCATTCACTCCATACACTATCGTAGACACAGCTGCCCTGGGGCACGTTGATAGAAGTGAGACAAACCCCAGTTACATAATGTAACTGTTCTATTTCATATATTGCTTCAGCCCTTTAGGTTTCGCTATTGCATAACATAGCAAAGCCCAGACCAATGTACTCCCAGCAGGCATGAACTCCGGTGATTGCAGCAAACCCGTGACCAACGTGCTCATACCGCAACCAAGCAGTAGAGACGGAGGTCCTACAAGCCATAGAAAAAGGGATGCAGGGCCACCTCTCTCAAGAGTGCCAGCGCATTCCCCAACCTGCAAGGCAGGAAAGATGATTTAGAACCAACCTGGGCAGGCAGCCTCTCCCAAGAGCGCCTGATCCCCAGGAAAGAAAAGCAGACTGCAGAAGGGTCTAGGCCGCCTCTCTCAAGAGCGTCAAACCCCCAGTCAACCCATCCTTATGCAGAGGTGTCCAGGCCGCCTCTCCCAAGAGTGCCCACACCTCTCCACACAACCCTCCTCATGCAGACCAGTCCCCACCGAGGTCTGCCAAAGGAGGAAATAGGGCCGCCTTGCACTCAAACCCGAATGAGCAACAGCATAACACCTGTCCAGCATGGAGACGGTCGGCTTGCCCTGCTCGGGGGGGCTGCCAGCCCAGACCACGGAGGAAGCTGGTGTACAGGCGTACTCCATCCTCGATGGGAGGAAAGCATGACCGCCAAGGCCAGGCCTCCGCACTCGCATATACTCCATACGCTAGCACCGGGGGTTTGGCTGTCATGGCCCTATCCCCTTGCGGCTGGCATAGTGCAGCAGAGGCTCCAAACTGGGAGCTACCACATCACGTCTGCGCTGCTGGGGGCAAGGAGTGAGGGACTGAAGATAGTCCCCGGGAGGCGAGGCGGGCTGGACCGGCATCGCCCTGACATCTCCAAAGAACCAGGCGAAGCAGTCGAGGGGATAGATGGTGCCACACCATGAGCGAGCCTCCATGGGCACCACTCCAGGGATGGAGCGAGGAGAGTGATGTTATTAGCTAGAGTAACCATCTGTGATGCATTAGCATTACACCTGTCCAGCGTAGATAGAGGGTTGCACACCATGAGCGATGCCATCATGGGCATTAAGTAATCCACTGCATCTATCAAGCGCGAGACAAGCATCACAACTGAGGCTTTCCCCCACGGCGTGACGCCAGCCCAGGCAGAAGACGCCGGACTCGTGGCGGTCAGCCTGAGAGAGTGCTACCAGGCACAAGTCGCAGATCCGCGGCCTGACACCGGAGGGTGGCAAGTTCTCAGGCGCAGGGATCTTGCTTGAAGACATCCTAGCAACTGAAGCATCTCTTTAGGCAAGTTGAGAGAGAAAAGAGCTGTGGTGCATGGCCCAATTTATAGGGGACTGAACTACGCAAGGACGTCAAGGTGATTGGCGCGGTGGATCGTTTGATCTTCTCAGGGCGGGAAGCGGTGCTTCCGAGAGATATGCAACATATGAAATAAAACCGGTACATGCCATCCGCCCCTCTGATCACCACCAACTATTCACACACACACACACAGATCTTTCTCTGCAGGAAAGTTAGATGGATACGATAGATGCTGCACTATGAAGCGCACCTGTTTGTAAACAGCACCAGCTACTTTTTTAAGAAGAAAGTTAACTGAAGTGTGGCCTATTAATCCACATATTGTCCACACTTGAATACAAGCTGCACATTTTCTTGCTATCGATCTCCTGCAAAGGTCTGCAAATGGTCACAAAATGTTATAATGACAAGGTATGTACAGTATATATACACAAGAAAGCATGAATGTCAGTAGGTAGTTTCTAACTAAACCTCAGCAGGTGGTTTGTTTCTGTAATCAGTTCTTAAACAGGCAGAAAGATTCTGGCCTCAAAAAAATTCTGACTAGAGTCCATTTAAATTGACGTTAGCATGCTTTAATTTGACGTTAGCATGCTTTAATCTGGCGTTAGCATATACCTTCACAGCTAGTTTCCAGGCCTGGCCTCATAAACTTTCTCAGTTTTGACAATACACATGTGGCTGATACTAGCTACTAAAACTTGGGGTTGGAGGTGAGATGATAAATCCTTAAACTGTACCGGTGTATTTCCCTGTATTTCCTTGTGTCTCTCTTCGTTGTTCACATAAAGAACAGCTGATGGAGCTGTGTCTAAATTCTTTCCTGTGCCCAAAAACACGATCTTCTTTTGTTCTGCTATAATGTGCGCAACGCTGACACTTATATTCCCCCACTGAGAAATGAATAAAGGTTATATTATCTTATCTTATATTATCTTAGCTAAGATGCAGAATTCCAAGAATAATAGTGTGTTATAGTCCAGCTATTATAGTATCTGTTTAGATGGTATTACCCACGGATCTATGGTATTACCCATGGATCTATGGTATTACCCCCACACCTTGACATTGTAGTTCAGTGTACCTATTATATCATCATAAAAGAATACTTTTAAATTTGCATTTCCTGCTTTCTTTATTCAGGCTTGAATAAAGAAAGCATGTAGAAAGCATGTATTTTTAGTGTTACTGAAATGGCCTTACTGTGGAAATAAAAGTTCAGTAATAAAAGTATATATCTTACGATGTGCGGTCTAGGAAGAGCGCCATCGTGTGGACTAAAGTGGTCGCTTACGGTGTTTGTTTTTTAATCCAAGTGAGTGTGTGCACTTCTGATGACTGATCCACCTGAAATCCACTAATAGAGATCAATATAGTATTATTTTCTTTATCTTTCTACTGCAGGAGTCCCCAACCTTTTTCCACTGGAGAGCAACTTTTTCAGGAACAAAAAAGTAGAGAGCTACTTGTGGAGTTCCTTGGTGGCAAGCCGCAGGTTGCTCCTGAGCTATAGGTTGGAGACCTCTGATCTTCTGCACATCCTTCAAAGCAGGACAGAAGAAATCAAAATACTCTGATTGGTACATTTGACACAGAATCTAAGCCATGAAACAAAGAGAGTTATGCCCCTCATAAAAAGTTTCACAATTATGAAAACCAACACTTAACAATGTAGACAACCCTGTTTTCTTTTTGTTATATGAGGAATTTGAAACACCAGTTTATTCACCAGCCGATATATCAGTACATTCTTATACAGTTAGAATATACACACAAGGAACATATGAACCTCATATATTCACTTTGAAACGGCACTAGATTTAGACATTTCTTTTCCTACACTACATGAGATAGTGTTACTTTACAGGAGTCATTTCTGAATGTTATCAAAAGTACTTCAAATATGGACCAATGGATCCTATGTGTTTGTTACTACTGCATTTCCTGTGTTTTGACTCTTTGATTCTCTGATCTGTTGTTGGCGAATCGATCAAATCAAATTGTTTGTACTGTAAGTCCTCTCAGGCAACTGCTGTATTGATTTAGGGCTATACAAAAATACATTGAATTGGGTTAGAAATAAGAGCGTGAATTTGTAAAAATGTGATGATTCAATAGTATTGCCATTTTTGGGCCACAATTCTTGATATATTGCGATTCAGCAAGTTTTGCAATCCGCTTCTGCGATTTATTGCGATGAATGTCCCTCATATTATTCAAAGGCATTGCAAAAAAATGAGGAAATAAGACAGCTCAATGCAAATGTCTCATTTATTATGTTCTGTGCATTAACTGAAGAGCAAAAACTTAGGAGGGTAGTGCAAAAATGTGATTCTTGAACTTTCAGGACCTTATTAATGGACAAGAAATAATTATTCTCTGAATATGCAACCTCTTCATGGTGAGCTCCCAGCACATAACTTAACTTATTCAAATACAATAGACTAAAGTAAAATAAATCAGACCTAATAGAATAACATAAACCTCAGATGTAAATTACCAGAGTAAACTTAGAGAAAACACGAAAGGAAAACAGATACATATTGAATTAAATATTGCAATACATTTCTATACTGTATCATTTTAAATATGTGCACAAAATAGTGCCATACTGAATACTTTGAGCGATGGCCTGACCCTTCACTTGACTGCTCCTGTGACTTGTGCAGCAGGTTAATGCGACCGATTACATAACAACTCTGTCTGTGTTTAGCAGTGGCTTCTTATTACAGTGGCTCAACAGATCTGAGTGTTTGTCTGTAAACACGGAGCTTGTCGGCCTGATCCTTCTGTCAAACACGTGAAGATATTAATATCAGACAGACAGTTGGCTTTTCTTACAATTCATCTTATAAATGTGCTGAAACTGGAGAATTGAATCCAGCTTTTAACAGTTCCGAGTACTTGCAGGTCCTTAAATTGAATGGTGGCAGTGATTTGGACTCTGGGCCCAATGCTGCAAGGTTGTGGTTTGCGTTCTTTCCAGCACACTAAGTACAATTATTTAAAAGAGCATCAATCCAGATATTAACGTGAAAGTAGAAAATGTAAATACAGAACATTAACTGTTTATGCTGTGGTGTTGCTCTTTTGTGCAGAATGCTGGAGATGTGGAAAGTACCCTCAACATTCTCAATGTTCTCGATGAACTTTTGTCGGCCGGTAAGCTTGAAGTGTTGAAAAGTTAATTGAGCATCAATAAACAGTGTATCAGACAGAACATATGCCTCTTTCTTCAGGCAGCGACCATCGCATCCACTACATGATCAGTAAAGGTGGGAGTGACGCCCTGCTCACTGCCCTGGTCAACACAGCTCGCTGCTTCAGTCCCAACTACACCGTGTTGCTTCCATTGCTGCACCTGCTGGCCAAAGTGGGACACAGAGGTGTGCATATCTGTGTGATTAGAATCTTCAATCATGTGTTGTTTTGTAAATTCTTCTGGAAATTGTTCTAATAGATTTGTGTGCCTATTAGACCGCAGAATTGGAATGAAAGCTGAAGATGCTGGGGCTGTTGTCCTGACTCTGAATCTGCTTAAACAAAACTTAAAAAACGCCAAAAGAGCTGCTGCCTGCCTGTGGGTTATTCAAGTGTTTGCTTCTTCAGGTAAAATCAATTCATATTCAGCCAATTGCTCTTTATTTTATACCCATTAAGTATAGGAGAGACAATACATTTGGTCATAGACATATTAGCCATTTCAAGGAAGAAGCAGTTCTTGAACTTTCTATTTTCTATGTTACAGTTTCCACTGCAAATGTGATTGGAGAAAACTGTGGACTAGATGTCATATATCGCCTTATCCCTCATTATACCACCAGCAACCTTCACACAATCAAGTATGTACTGCAATTTGTTATACTGGTACAACATACAACGTTGTTAATAGACTTCCCGTGGCACTGAGTAGCATATTTTTAACAACAGTGGGGTACAGTACTGTGCTGTCTCAAAAGTATAGCTCCCTCAACTCAACGCCGCCTTGTAGCTGGCAGTGTCAGCAACTACAAAAGATTGATGACACGTGTTACCCCCTGCCTGAGCTGCAATGTGAAACTCAGCCCTTTCCTCACTTTTTCATGGAAGGGTTAATTACTTTCTATTTTCTATTGAAACAGGTAGAAAGGTTTATTAAAATGTTGCATTCTATAATTGCATAACATATTCTACATTAAAATTACAAATATCAAATTACTACAAAATTCCATGTTGGTCTATTTGATAGCCTTCTATATATTGATGTCAAACGTAAAAGCATTGGCAGATTTAGCTACCAGTGAAGTTGGAGCCAAGAGCAGTGGCACACTGCCATGTTCTTGCCCATGCCACTGCCACTCATAGTATGCCGTTTCATGGCACGTTAAAAGTTTAGGAGCCCAAACTTCCTTTTTTCATTTCTCTTCAGAGCTAACTTATTGAGATGATTGTGGATTTCAATGCCAACATGTGTAGTCCCTTTGAATAGCTTTGACTAATTGGCAGCTGAGAATGCCTTTGAAGTAACACTAGAAACAAGGTATTTGTGTGACGCGTCAGTCACAGTGATCTATGCAGCATAGTGCCATTGGATGTGTGCTTGTGTGCTGTCCACACATTAAAACAGTGATATCAGTCAAGCTGTCTGATGTTCTACAACTAAATCTATGAGAAATTCAATTTACAGCTGTCAACAGCAGTGCTCATTACTCTCGGCTTGCATAAAGATTGATGCTGTAATCTTTGTGGGACTTTTTCTTTCACGGTTTCCCCTGACACAGTCAACCACATTGTTTTCGCGTAAAAAATTTATATGGCTTCAAAAATAAAAATAAATGTGAGTTTTTACAAGGTATTTGAATTTGTTTAAACAATGAACATTTCCTCAGCACTTGCATTTCCTAAACCTAGAGAGCACAGAGGCCAGACTGACTGACCTTTCCTTTGAATATGTGTGAACTCTTGACCCTTGTCACTCTGCCCATGTCCCTGAGACACAGTTTACTTACTGACAGAAACATTATACTTATAGTGTAATTTAATGCTTCCAGTTACTCTCCCACAATCCATGACTACATACAAACATGTATTTGTGAAAGCTTATATTTTGTCTTTTAGATGACTGACGCCCTTTTAGACCACACAGTGATTCTTCTTGTGTCTTTTAGTTTATTGAATACAGTGAAGTATAAATAAGCATTGATATGATTATGGACATTTAATTGTGTGTGTGTAACCATTACATACCAGTTCACACACACACACACATAGACACGCACATCCCCCCCCACACACGCACACACGCACGCACGCACATACACACACCAACACACTTGTCAATGATCTAATGACAATCATTCTTTTTCAGGGCAGCCATTAATGCTTTTGCGGCTGTGCTCTGCACAAGTAAGTTTACTTGAATTAGAAATGCCTCATTGCTGCAACTGACAAACATGTCCCCCGGGGGTCAGTGTTGCACTGTGCATTGTAGATCACAGAGCTGTGAGTTTGTTCTTGGCTTACTTTCTTGTCCATGCCTGAGCTCAGATACCAGGAGCTAAAAAAGTTTGGGCCTGGGTAGTTCTTGGATGGGAGATACCAGATGCCACAGTGAGACACCATTGTCTGAAGTTTGTACTTTGTGTTCTTAGTGAACACGCTGCTGTATCTTTATCTTGCCAAGAGTGTGTGTGTGTGTTGTATCTGTCTGCTATTGTTTCTAAAGGGTGTCAATTATTTCTAAAGGAGAGATTGGGTGAGGGACTGGTGGGTTGTGGTGGGTTGTGGTGGGTTGTAAAGCTGTTCCTCTTCCTCTTTAGAGGCCAACGTCTGCCTGGTGGTATCCAAGGGCTACATTTCTGGACTCTTGCGACTGTACGAGGACTGGCACTGTAAGGATACTCACCATGTTGCCATAGCAATCCGCCATGCGCTGTTGCATTGCCTTCATAAGGTCACTTACAGTACAGCAGGAAGAGAGGCATTTTTTTCACTTGGAGGTCTCCACCTCATCTACCAAACAACACAGGTGAAGCACTCTCACTCTCTAAGTCCTTGTATGACACAACAATATAACGTCTTTACTCTTTACAGGCATGTTTGATGAACAAAGCTCTCTCATCCCTCATCGAGCCCTCAGTTCAGCTCATGAGAAAGTGTCTGCCAAAAAGCCGCCTGCCTCTGACCTCAGACCTTTCTGCATACTCCTTTCCAATACCAGGGCAACCCCACTCTGACCTTCATGTCAGCGTGGCGTTGGGTAAAGTTACTTTGGCTCCCCGTACGTTATTTCTGACCCGTATTGAACGAGGTGTATTTTGCTCTTTCTGCAGGCGACAGTGATGAAGAGGAGCCAGAGAGCCACCAGGAGACAGAAAACAACTATGTGAGCCTGATATATCTCGTTAAACATATTGTTACATTAATACATACAATACATGATGCCATGTGTGTATACTAGTTTGATACCATTGTTACCATTGTTTCTTCATTTCCAACAATTCAATTCAGTTGAAATTCAAATTAAGATAATCATCATCAGATCCCCATAACTTGCTTACATTGTTTTTTACATGTTTGATTATTGTTATAATTAGTCGAAAGTTTTTATGTTTATGTTTATTATTGTTATTATTATTATTATTATTATTATTATTATTATTATTATTACTAAATGTTTACAACCAGTTTCCAGGACTGAGCTGTTACTGCTCCCTGTGGTGCTTTGGATCAGAGCAGGTGCACTAATCCTTGACATTTCCCTGCTCATCACAGCAACATTATACACTGTGTATCTTTCAACAAATATCTTTCAAAAATGTTTACTGGTATTGTCTTTTATTCATGCTAACATTAAATGTGAATAAAAAAAACGACTCCTGCATACTCCTGTATTCATAACAAAAATGTTGTTCTTGTTAAGGATGACGATTTGGAGACTGACCTGAATAAACTGCGACATCGGCCTGAGCCAGACAGATCTAAAGACGATCTGGCTCAGTACACCGTCTTTTGCCCTGAGCTCTCTCATAACTTTCAGGTAACAAACAGCCAACCTCCATCAAAACAGTGGTGTCCCAATCAAGTCCTTCTGATTGAGAATGTGATTTATGTATACTGATGGGCAACGTGTGGTCAGGAATCATGCACTTAAGATGCAAGGTTAAAAAGAGAGTAACTGCTCATGCATCAAGAACAGAAATAGTCCGATGGATGGATGATAAATGAGTGTCTCCGACTGAGGTCATTTTTCAAGTCATACAACAGGATCTGGTCTGACACGACTCCTGATTAATGTCCCCTTGGACTAATTGTGCTTTCACGTTATTTTTATATAAACTGTAAACATGCTAACATTAGCTTATTACACAACATAATAATAATATATCATTTTAAATAATATTTTATGCATACTATTATTGAGCTTTATGTTATATTTTATTGAAGTGAGTACAGATAATGTGCATAAAAGCATTCCTTTAAAAGCCCAGGCTGTTCTTAAATGTGTATAGACATTTTAGAGCCCCTGTGAATGTCTCAGTGTTCAGAAAAGCTTCTTATAGACAATCTTCATCTTCGGATCTGCAGGAGCTTGACTCGGGATCAGAGACAGGAAGAAGTTCACCATCATCTTCATCAGATGTGGAAGATGATCTTTGTTACAGCTGTTCGCCTCACAGCTCTCAGAGGAGTGATCCTCTCCAAGGGAAATACTCCAATGGTGAGAGGAATTATTCATATTAATGTATTTTTTAAACAATTTCTTTAACTTTGACCCTTAATTTTAATTCAGTTGTATTTGTTGTTGTCCTTGTTTGTTTCTCTGCAGATTGTATCCAGTCTGATTCTCGCAATTTTCACTCTACGGTCCTTGGCACCAGTCCTAGTTTTAATGCTATACCAAAGGGTTCAAGGTACAGTGAAATAGATATTTCTTTATCTAATCTAAAAACAAAGTTGCTTCCAGGACTTTTTAGGTCTTAAGAAACTATATCAGGTCTTAGGCAATGGATTTTCTATCTTTGTCAAATCGAAATAATTAAAATTGCCCTTTGAGGATTCAGTGACGGAAATACATTTTGATTCACACAAGTAATATTTAAAACATCACTATTGTTCTGATGCTGCAAAGAATATCTTCAACATTTGAAAAAGTAAAGCGTAAAACGTAAAGTAATGTATGTGCTATATGACCTGGTCTGACAATCAAACAGAAAATAGGAACGATTAATCACAATCAGAGAATGTTTGCAACCAATCTGTTCCTGTTTGTTCTTTATTTTAAAGGGAAGATTTCTTCCTACAGCAAAATGGTCACAATGATGAGAATGAGGCAGGGGAAGAGAGCTGCCATCAAACCCTCATTGATAGATTACTGGAGAGAAATCCTTCCAGTATTCCTCACCATGAGCCCAAACTGTATCGCTCTGCTGCTTCCAAGACCAGATCCATCCCCGACTTCAACATCCTGGGCTTTCCTGACTTCTGGGGTCACATATCGCCACAGGGAAATGAACCTATGGTTCCTCGCAAGCCCCATGTCCAGAGGTACAGTAGAAATTATACTACTGTTTGAGTGCCCTTATCAAATTTAAGGTTATTTTTTTGAGATTAGGATGGAATCAGATATGTGCCAAGATATTTTGTGATATCTGATTGTCACTATCTTGTTTTTCACATTTTAATATTGAAGCTGCACAAAAGGCTTCATTTGTGCATCTTTGAACAGCTGTAGTTAAAATATTCCTCCCAATGGATAGTGAACCAATTTTATTTAGTAATGATTGGATTCCTTTTTGCATAGAGGGACTGGGAATTACGGAAACTACCCTGACAAAATACAACAAAATATAACCTTTAATAAAATACTTCAACCTTGTTAGAAAGAGTCCAGTGAATTATTGATATGCTTTAAGCAGAGGTTTTCTTTATTTTACTGCTCAAGTGAAAAAAGAGTGATGTTCTGAACTGTTTCCACTTTTTGTGGCTTTAAAAGACTCGTTGCACCTTGGACCTTAATTAGTGCAGACTTAAACAAACCAAATATACATTTGGATTTAAAAGAAGGCACAGTCCATAGGTTTGTTTCTTTCCCTGTTTGTCTTTGAACGATGCATATCCACAGCAGATCCGTACAGCCTTTTCAGTTTTCTGTGTCACAGCAGCTAAATGTGTGGGACGGCTACATAAAGAAGCAGGCTGGGCAGAACACAGCATCAGATGCTGTTTGCTGAATCACTTGCTGTGAGTCCGTTGGATGTGTTTCCCACAGAGCTGCTGTCAGACTAAGCATGTAGTGAGACAGAGAGGATCACGGAGTGTTCTCTTCTTTTTGCACCTGTCCAATACTCCACCACACACACTAAAGTACAATCTTGCCACACCCCACCTATATCTCAGGCTCACTGTCACATTCCATTGTTTCTTCTTTTATTACACCATCTTCTCTGCTCTGCAGTTGGTCTGACAGAGGATAGCCTTATTTTGTAGCTGTGTCTTCTCCAAATTGCCGCAGTAACTCTATCTTTCTATTCTGGCATAGATGGAGCAATGATAAAATAGTAGAGTATTGTAGAGTAGAGTATAGATGGGAAGATCAGCAGATACTGACATTTAAACATTTTATTGATTCAATTTCCCTTTGATTTTAATCTAATTATGTTTCCTATTTGTGTTTGTGATTTAAAGAGAGCATGTTTAACACAAAATATGCCAATGCTATCTCTAAAGGAGAATAATTATGTTTTAAAGTTATGTCCAGAGGCATCAGGTTGCAGTTTTATGAAAGCAACTATGATACCATATGTTTGCCTAGTTTGGTAAACTTACCAATTTACATCCAACCTTATCTTGGCAATGATGTCTTCTGTCTCAGGCAGAAAGTGTTTGAGGATGTCCAACGCTTCCTGAATCAGGATGACATCATCAACAAGGTTATTTTTGACTTGGAGGACAGCAGGTATGTGGCTGACATTCATTTCAGCATTCACACATTAATGTAATTGAACCAGACTCTTGGGAAATTCTGTTTGTAAGTCTGCAGTGCTCGTCTGACACCACAGAGTCACTCAAGTTCTTCTCCAAGTTTGAAAGTGGAAACCTTCGGACGGCTGTCCAAGTCCGCAGGTAAGCATGAAGTCCATACATGTCATTCAGAAGATTTGAGCACTATAACAAAAGTTCCGTCCTTCTCTTCAGATATGAGTATGACCTGATTCTAAACAGTGACGTGAACTCCTCTGATCACAGTCAGTGGTTTTATTTTGAGGTCAGTAACATGGAGTCAGGAGTGCCCTACCGCTTCAACATCATCAACTGTGAAAAAACCAACAGCCAGTTCAACTATGGTAAGCTTTATAATGGGGCTGGGTCCATATCACTAAAAGCTTGTTTGCAAATAGAAAAGTTATTGCTTTGCCAGGAAAGTTCCACAGTACGCCATGAAATTCTCCATGTTCCATCTCTACAGAAGATGAAGACGTTAAAACTAGGAATAGAATATAATGAAGACAAGCAGGTGTCAGCCATCTTCCGAATGTACAAACTGTTCAAATCATAGACTGCATTTAGACAGACAATAGCCTCTAGCTTAATGAAGCCAAATGAGGAAGTGCTCATGAACATAGTTTTGCTCGCTCTCGCTCTACTATTGACTTGTTTGTGAAAAGTAAAAAGCTCACTAACTGTTTGTTTCACAATCATCATTTTGGGCTTAAAAAATCTATGGTTTTGAACATGTGCCTTCATTCACATGTTCAAATGTTCTTCTCCCGCATTTGGTAAAAATGCCACGTCAATGATGGGTGACATCGCTGACATGGCGTGCCAAAATAATGTATGGTGACTTACAGCGAGTATGGTTGAACCTTGTGAGTAGAATAGGCGTGTTGTTCTGAGGCTTCCATAGGGCACAATGGGGTCCTCTCATACTTTCTCTCAGATGGAGACTTTGGTTTGTGTGGCCCCTGCCCTTTGACCTTTTTGAGTGATGTACGATGAGGCTCTGTACCACATTGCCACAGCCATAATACACTATCTGTTACCGCTAAGATGGACACAAATGGACTTACAAAGGGCATTTCTCCCATAGCAGCTTTCGTTTCAGATACACTTCCACACACTCATTTATGCGGTGTCCTTTGTTGCAGAAAATAGCCTTTGATAACTTCCCATAGGAAATCATTTTCATCTCAGGAAGAGATGAATGAATAGAAGAAAGGGATGTCTTCCCAAATAGACCCCGGTTATTGTTCTGAAAATGGCTTCTCGTCTGGATGGTTGTAATTTGCTAAAAAGACAAAAAGTCAACTGTATTTTGGACCTCTGAATTTTGGATACATTTGGGGTGAGTGAAGGTACCCAGGTGCGTGATGAAGAAGGAACCTCTGAAATCAGGGACTAGATCTACGGTTATAGATTTTTTTTAAAAGCATTGCACTCTCAAATTACACAATGCTGTTGTCGGATATTGTTTCCTTCATACCAGTGACAAAATATCCAAAGGGGGAAAAAACTATGTGAGAAATGCATTGTCACCTCATGATTGTATTATTGACATTGGTAACTTGAGATTGTAAGGCTCTTTAAACTTTAATATTTTCTTATTTATACATATATTTATTACATATTTCCTTTTCACCTCAAAAATCTTTTTGGATCAGTGTTACTTTCCCACACAGACAGTGATTCTTTTTTATCAAGAACATAATTCTCAGTCTCATTTACAACATGGTTTGAGTTTATCCCAAATATGTGTAGAACTTTGCTGTAAATTGACATTTTATAATGAGGATTATATTATAGATGTTAAGGTTTTTAAATGGTGCGATTATTATGATACAAATCTCATTCAGATATTTTGTTAATATATTCATGTTGTACAAAGTGTGATTGTTTTTTACAGGTATGCAGCCAGTTCTATACTCGGTGAGAGAGGCTCTTGAGGGGAGGCCACACTGGGTCAGGGCTGGAACTGAAATCTGCTACTACAGGTGCAAACGCTGTGGAGTCACATTTTTCCAAACCTTTTCCAATGATGATCTGCTTACTTTAACACTGTTTTGTGTCCTGCAGAAACCATTTTTGCCCCGTTCAAGGCAGGAAAGTGGCCACCTTGTACACACTGACGTTTAGCGTCACTTTCAAACACTGTGAAGATGTGTGCTACTTGGCTTATCACTATCCGTACTCCTACTCGGCCCTGAAGGTACCTGTGTGAGAACCCAGCGCCATCCTCTCCTGGATACCTTTCATTGTTTTCAAAGGAGATATTTCATGCTAAATCCACGCAATTTTTTCCTTCATCAAAAACAGATCTGGAGTTCTTTATAGATCCATTCACGCTAGTATCAGGAACTTCTAGCACAAACATGTAAATCCTGTCCGTCTGGCTAAAAGATCCCGTTTCAGTTATGCAATAGTTTGATGACATTGTATTATTATAAGCACTGCCCATACATTCATTTCGTCAATTTTGTTTCATTATCATGTTTAATGGTCAAAACATACTGTGTCCCAGGCCCATCTGAAGGTGCTGCAGAAGTCAGTTGATCCTGCCAAAGTATTTTTCCGACAGCAGACCCTGTGCGGATCCTTGGCAGAGAACTCCTGTCCACTGGTCACTATCACTGCCTGTCCGGCCAGTCGAGGCTGGAAGGACCTCCATCAGTTACGTAAGTACAACTGGCTAAAAAATCCCACATTTATTGTACTAGAGAACAAAATATACGTACTTGGAGTGGGAATTAATGTTTTTCTTCTTCGCACTCCCTTTCAAGCTAATCCTTAACAAACAAGTGAAAAATGTGTTTAATATGACTGTAGATATCTATGTCCATGTATATAAGACGAGGTTTATGAATTTAAATGTAAATATGATGTAACTATATCGTAAATTATGGTAAATTAATGGGTAAAATATCTGTTAAGCTCAAAATAAATGTATTGAATTATGCCATATTTTTACTGACATGAAACAGTCTGTGCTGTTCAAAGTTTGTTCAATACTGGAGAAATACAAGATGACCTCATTATTTGATTTTTTGAAAAATTGTAACGTGTCTTTGTGATTTCTTACTCACTGGAACTTACTATCTTACGCTATCTGTATATCCTAAATGTTCATATGTTCTATCATGAATTTTTTATATACTTTTGCCTATATTTCAGGAACGTATTGTGTTCCTGATAAGCAATACTGAAAATGGCACCTGGTCTATGACTGTTTGTATGCATAGTAAAAATGTGAAAAAGTTAAAATAGTTTATATATTGTCCATTTGAAAGGACGTTGTGTGTTTGTTGAGTATATTTACTGTGTAAGTGACTACAGGTACTACAGACTTCATCTTGACAGAACATTTTATCCCACACGTTTTTCACATTGCAGTCATAATTGAAACTCAGTGATCCTTTGCTTATGGAAATATGAAAAGATTATTTGTTGAAAATAAAGACCCACATGAGAGCAGTCGCTGCTGCATTTCTGTATGGGAATACAATTACAGCGTCTGTCTCACATGGCCACACAGGCAGATCCAGTATATCCGTCTGAAATACCGCTTTACTACCGACAGTCCAGAGAAAGATTGTTTTGGAATTTAAAACAAGGAAAAGTTAATTATGGATTTCCATTAGCACCAGAAATCAACTAGAGTGGATAATTCCAGGAAAAGGAAAAATCTGGTTTATATTAAATAAGACATACTCTTTTTTCCCCCTGGGTAGTTGATATTATACCATGACATTCAATTACATTTATTTTTATTTTCTTTGACTTTACAAAACTTTAGATCTGCCAACAACAGATTAGAGTAAAACAGTTCAAACAGAGGAAAAGCAATATCAACAAATGCGTAGGAAGTGCTTAAAACTGTGTAAATGTTCTGGATTCTCACTGTCCTGAGACCCTCCTGCATCTGCAATGAACAACAACAACAAAGCCCAGTGGGAAAATATGTGAGAAACCCTGGGGAGGCCCATTTTGAGGAAGAAATCCCCTCTCATGGACGGACAGGTGTAGAACCAAACTCAGGCTGTAGAACAAGGACTGAGTCCTGGCTGGGGACGACCAGTTCACAGGTCCCATATGGGCCACATGTGGTCTATATTACCTCTGCTGGGTAAAGTGTTTTTATCAGAATTTTTTAATTAAAAAGTCCATCTTTTCACACATTTTTTTTTTGTAAATCTTAGAAATGGTTTCTTTTAAGAGGGTGTTTCTTCCCACTGTACTATGATTGGTTACATCACTCTGAAAGTAAACAATCTGTTTGAAACATTGAACATTAATACTGTGTGTTGACTTGAGCATAACAGAAATGCACTGAATCAGTAATGATTCATTACAAAATGACTTTTTATCCAACCTCTAATTTGTGTCACTGTTTTTGATTTGAGCCTGTGTTGCGATCCGTCCAGGTAACCGCGCCTACATTGTTCTGACTGGGAGGGTTCATCCTGGAGAGCCCAATGCCAGCTGGGTCATGAAGGGCACTTTGGAGTTTCTCTGCAGCAGTGACCCAGTGGCCCAGAGTTTAAGAGAAACGTTTATCTTCAAAATCATCCCAATGTTGAATCCTGATGGAGTCATCAACGGGACGTGAGTAAAAACTACTGTATTAGAACATCTCAATTTACCTGGGAACACATATCATTCAATTCATCTTTTACTCAGACCCAAAACTGGTCCATATAAAGCATAAAAAACAGACAAATAAAAGAGCATAGTAGTCCTACAACTAATCTAAGGCTGTATCTGTGACTATGTCAGAAAAGTAGTAAAAACAGTGAGACATTTTTTTCATATACGTCTGGACTTGTTCAATGTGTTGCTTCCACTTTCATTATGATTTTGATATAAATAGAAGTGTTGTGCATGATCAAATTCTTCAACACCAAGGTCAGCAAGAGCGCTAAACCATAGATTTTTAAAACCCAAAATGGTGAATGTGACACACTTTTGTCCATGAGCACTTCCCTATTGGGCTTCATTGACCTAGCGGGTAAGCATTGTCCTTCTATATACAGTCTATGCCAAGAGCATAGGTCCTTACTCTTTCCTCTAACTAACTACTCCTATTTGCCTGGAAACAAGAGCTGACAGAGGTCATTGTTCTCAAAATGCCACTTCTACTGTCTGGTCAGTTTTAATAATGTCCACCTGATGAACAAAATATTACAGAAACACAGTTAGTTGATGTACTAAATGGGTGCATGTGCATCGACTCCCTTGAAAAAGAGGTTCTTAATCTCGACGGGACTTTCCTGGTTGAATAAATGAAAAATAAATGCAAGCAATATTTACATCAACAGTAATATTCAGTGTTTCTTTGTGTTTGCAGACATCGCTGTAATCTGAACAGTGCGGATCTAAACCGACAGTGGCTTAGACCAGATCCTGTCCTCAGTCCAACCATCTTCCACACAAAGGGTTTTCTCCATTATCTGAACAGCACAGGACACACACCTCTGGTACGCCATTCCGCTCCAGGTTTGGTCAGGTCAAATCTAAGATCTTTAAGCCTTTAAAGCCACTTAGGGAAAAGGTTATGGCAAGATTGCTGAGCAGGGAATGTGGGCTTGCCTTTTTGATATGATTCTTTATTGTTGTGCCTAATATTTTTTTAAATTGACAAAACTAATGAAACTCAAAAATGCCCAAAAAGTGGGCATTTATTGTTCATGACTTTTGCAGGTTTTCCATGAATTTACTGCACTCTGTACTGTATTTTATTGTAAATAGCAGGTCACATTCATCATTTATATTGGATCTTGAAGGTGGTTTTAAGGCCTTGATTTTTGGCTTCATCAGATTGAACACTTTGAATTATTTAATTACTTTTGGGCTTCTCTGCATTCACTTCTTCTGGGGGACTTGATTAGATACACAACCTGAGAATATCTCTTTTTGATTAATCACCACAAATTTTGAGTTAATTAATTTAGTATAATTAAATAACATGTATCTTCTTCATTCTTATTAGTAATAATAATGCATTGATTTTAGATAGCGCTTTTCTGGACACTCAGTGGTGATAAACTACTACTGTAGCCACTGACAGTCGCGAGCCAACCAGTATTCTAGGCAATGTAGGTGAAGTGTCTTGCCTAAGGGCACAGCAAAAGTTTGGCACTCTACAGCCGCAGACGGCCACTGTGGCACTTGGTGTTCTCAGAGGTCTCCCATCACATTACTAACCAGGCCCTGTCCTGGACAGCATCAAATGTCTGAAGGGATCTGGCTTTCGCATGCAAATATGGCCACAACACATTATAATATATGTAGAATACTTATAACTCACTGCAAGAAGGTTGTGGGTTCAATTCTCATTCTAAAACAATTGTGTGTGGAGCTGGTTTGAGGATCCTGTAAAGTTTATTATTATTAGTTTGCATTTTCAGGAAAACTTTCTATCAATGATTAATCTATTTCTGCTGCTTCTAAAGAAAAGTTAACATTTTAATTGCTTTTTATACAGATAATGTCTCTCTTTAGACAGTTTTATGGAATATCAAACACATTTCTTTTCAAAAAAACGTTTTTATGGTAGTCAGATAAGCAACATGGATCCCAAAGGAAATTCAAAGCAGTGGCAAGTGGATGAGGAAAAAGTCTACACCGGGGTGAACCAGTCAATCCAATTGTATTCCCTCATTATTTTTACATGAGAAGATATTCCCTCAGTAGCAGAGTTTCAGATCAATGAAAAGTTTATTAGCTCAAATTAATGTCTGATTGTTCCATTCAATGTGTAAAAGACTGTGTCTATGTTTGTGATTTCACCGACTGAATCAGATGTAATGAAACGCTGATGAGAAAGTTCTATCATCTACTGACTTTAGCTGATATTTTTAATTGCCTTAAATTAAATTGCCTTAAATTAATCAGATGTGGCGTTTTTAATCTAATTTACTGAGTGAATGGAAGACTGCCTGGAAAAGCAGGGTGTGTCTGTACTTCTAAAAATATAAAGATATACCTATGATAACGGTTTATGGAAAAAAAAAAAAATAGTGTTTCTACAGCTTTTGCATTGTGTGCTTTTGATGCTGGTGTGACTAACCTAAATAACGTTAGGAAGAGAGGACCAGCCCTCACTCAGTCCATCAGCTCTCAGTATGATACAAGGTTTTTAATAGGATAAGACACCAGAACGCATATTAAACGTGTAAACCAGAACATTATTTGAAACAGTCCTGTCTGGCCCAAGACCAAAAAATTGATGACATTATCTAGTAAGAAAAGTAGCATTAAAAGGGGACAAAGTAACCCACCCGCTTATTACCTTATTTAATAACCTTATTTAAACTAATCAACTTAAATAACCTTATTTAAGTTAGTCAGATTTCTCCAGTACAGTTAAGCAGCGCTATTGTAGACTTTTAAAGAAGCACATAAATAAGCCGTGATCGTTTGGCCCACAGGTGTACTGTGACTACCACGGCCACTCGAGGAAGAAGAATGTGTTTTTGTACGGCTGCAGTGTGAAAGAAACGCTGTGGCAGTCTGCTGTGGACACTGTTGGTGTTAAAGAAGACCCCGGCTACAGGGTACATCCCCACAGGCTCCTTAAAGCTGCACTAACTGACTTTGAGAAATTTTCGAATATCAGTGCTGCCCTCACTCTTTCTGCTCGCCCTCCCGGCACGGAGCTTTCGCCCCCCACTACCCCCCTCCCCCTCAGCCTGCGCTCATGTGCTAATTGTTTATGGAGCTCACATCTCACAAAATGGATCGCATATTTGAACGTGGATGGCGTGACCATAGAATGATAGAACCGGGAAGCGCGGAGGAAGGCTATTTCGCTGAGTAAGCAGTAACCGGTAACGAAGACACGGGAAGTTTCAGGTTAGCCTCCGCCGCTTGTTTACCTCAGCTGTCTGTGCTAACAAGAAACCTGTAGATTTTCTCAAGAAAGTGGGGGCCAGTGGTCCGCTGTGATTGGTCACAATCTTGACCCGAAACACATTCTCTTCCTTGTTGGACCAAAACTCGATCTGAAATAAAATGACACGCCAGTACAAATCTGCGCTACTTTTTCCTCAAAAGGACATATACCCCAATGCGTTGCATGGATATGGATTGAATTTTTGTAATGAATACAAAAATAAAGTCAGGTAATGCAGCTTTAACACCAACACATTACTCACATCTTGGATGCATTTGCTCCGAGTTCATTTTTAGAATTGCTTTTTACATTCCTCATTAGCTATTTTAAAATAACTCAATGGACTGTCCTTCAAACATTGTTTAAAAAAAAATATTATTCTCTTATTTATTTTTATTTGACTGGTTTTAGGGTTGTAGTGGTGAAATCATTGGGCTTGTTTGAGTGCATGCCTTGTTCTCAACTGACCTTACGAATTGTAAGGTCAGTTGGATCCATCCATCCATTTTTTTCCGTATCATCCGTTGCCGGGTCGCAAGGGTAGCAGTCTAAGTGGAAAAGGCCAGACTTCCCTATCCACAGGGAAGTCTGGGCCCCCATGCCTGGGGTTTGGGCTCGTTTGGGCCCACAGAGGTGGGTGGTGGAGAGGTGCGGAGACTTGGCAGCAGCTGAAGGCAGAGGCCTCGACGACCCAGTCCACATAAACAACACTTGTTCAGCATACAGTGGTTTAAATAATACTTGCACACTTTCTGTGAATGATAAAAACTTTCTGTAACTTCTCAAATGTCAGTGTTTGTCTCCTATATGATATATGCAATTTCTTATCCAAACAACCAAGGATTTATAAAGTAAAATCATAAAAATTGATGCACAAACTTTTGAACACCACTGTATGTGCTTAACAACAATTCTGATATGATTTTATGTCATCTCCTCTTGCTTCACGTGTTCACGAGTGTTGCAGCAAATGCTCGTTGTAAGACAAATGAACACAAAGACGAATTTCAATTATGTTGTGTCTTTGTTTCATCAGACCATTCCAAAGACCTTGGACCGTATAGCTCCTGCTTTTTCATTCAACAGCTGCAACTACCTGGTAAAATGGAAACACACATAATTTTTCACCTCGATGAATTATCCCGGCTGATTTCCTCTTTTCTGTGTCGTAGGTGGAGAAATCTCGCTCAGCCACAGCCAGGGTGGTTGTTTGGAGGGAGATTGGTGTACTCCGAAGTTACACCATGGAAAGCACCTACAACGGTTGTGACCAGGGAATATACAAGGTAAATTAAAGTACATTATGAAGGCAAACTGAAGTGCCGGTGTTCTGTCGAGTTGGTCTGCCCGTCGAGATGATCTCCCTCAGCTGTTAATGATGAAATGCAAACCTGCGCAGCGCGTCTCACGGCAGCCAAAGCAAACCAAGATTGCGGACATGAAGTCCGCAAATTGCTTTAATAGTTAAAATACGAACAAATTAAGACACAAATGTCACTTTTTATTGCAATTTGAGGCGAGATGTTGATGGCTCTGTGTTGTGATATGTGGGTTTTAAGAGTAAGAGTTTTGTGTAAAGTTTGTTTTAAGCAGTCCACTGCTCTTGTGAAACTACACTGCTAGTGTAACCCAAATCTTATTTGCGCATGCGCAGAAACCTGACAGAATGGGGAAAAAACTCCATCTAATTAAATATTTCGTTTGAACACACTATTGTTAATCATATTGATTACAGTATGATACATGCATTAAATGTAATTTATTATTTCCATTATCAACCCGACAGACCAGTCACAGGACGCGTCATCGGCCTACGTCAGTAAAATGACGTATGCAGCAGTCAACTCGGGGACTGCTATAACAGTAGCAGTGTAGTTTCACAGGAGCAGGGGACTGCTTAAAACAAAATTTACAAGAAACTCTTATTCTTAAAACACACATATCACAACGCGGAACCATCAACATCTTGATGAATTGAATTAAAAGTGACATTCGTGTCTTAATTAGTTCGTATTTTAACTTTTAAAGCAATTTGCGGACTTCATGTCCGCCATCTTGGTTTGCTTCGGCTGCCGTGAGACGCGCATGTGCAGGTTTGCATTACATCATTAACAGCTGAGGTAGATCATCTCGACGGGCAGACCAACTCGACAGAACACCGGTCTATACTAAATTCCACCGTCCTCATTACCAGGGCTTACAGATGGGAACCAGAGAGTTGCAGGAGATGGGTGTGAAGTTCTGCCACAGTTTGTTGTCAGTTTCCAAGGACATCACGACCCTGTACAGCCGGAGACTCATCAACCACATTGACCTGGACCACAACACACTGGACCACACTTCAAATGAGTACGTTCTCATGTTAGCACACTTTGTCACATGTCAGACAACACATGGTACACACAAAAGGGTAGAGATACAGCCGTACAGAAGCAGCCAGAGCAAGGAGGTACAAAGATCAGAGTGCGGGTGGTCCCTCCCAGACTGTATGTAGATACAGAACAATCAGAGCTGGTGCTTGCCTTGTTGGGGCCCTAAGCAGAAGGCAGCATAGGGGCCCTACACCTTACTCAAGAAACCATAAAAATTAAAGCAAGCAGACGTCCCATTACACTTAAACAAATTCATAATTCACACTAATCAAGCAATATAAGACTTGATTAGTGATTGATTCAACACAAGATAAAATAACATTCAAACTTTTCACACACGATAAAATAAGATAAGATATGATAAGATAGACTTTATTGATCTCACACAGGAGAAATTTACATGTCACATTTGGCATGGATAGAAACACTCAGATTTGTGTAAAAGACAGAAGTGTGCAAACATGTTCAAATACAAAAATAGACAAAATACAAATACATAGTGCAGTATTAAACTTACCAGCACAATACAGAACACACAATGTGGAGCATACTCAAAATGTGCATTGCAAGACCACTTAACCGCTCCTGACCTATTGAAGCTCTCAAGTATGTTTTTATTAACACAAAAAATGAATTACAGATTTTGTCATTGTATGATGAAATCATCATTTTAATTATCTAGTACTTTTATCATAATTATGATTAGTATATACATATATACAGTGCCTTGCGAAAGTATTCGGCCCCCTTGAACCTTTCAACATTTCGCCACATTTCAGGCTTCAAACATAAAGATTTTTTTTTTTTTTACATTTCAAGAATCAACAACAAGTGGGACACAATCGTGAAGTGGAACGAAATTTATTGGATAATTTAAACTTTTTTAACAAATAAAAAACTGAAAAGTGGGGCGTGCAATATTATTCGGCCCCCTTGCGCTAATACTTTGTAGCGCCACCTTTTGCTGCAATTACAGCTGCAAGTCACTTGGGGTATGTCTCTATCAGTTTTGCACATCGAGAGACTGGAATTCTTTCCCATTCTTCCTTGCAAAACAGCTCGAGCTCAGTAAGGTTGGATGGAGAGCGTTTGTGAACAGCAGTCTTCAGCTCTTTCCACAGATTCTCGATTGGATTCAGGTCTGGACTTTGACTTGGCCATTCTAACACCTGGATACGTCTATTTGTGAACCATTCCATTGTAGATTTGGCTTTATGTTTTGGATCATTGTCCTGTTGGAAGATAAATCTCCGTCCCAGTCTCAGGTCTTTTGCAGACTCCAACAGGTTTTCTTCCAGAATGGTCCTGTATTTGGCTCCATCCATCTTCCCATCAATTTTAGCCATCTTCCCTGTCCCTGCTGAAGAAAAGCAGGCCCAAACCATGATGCTGCCACCACCATGTTTGACAGTGGGGATGGTGTGTTCAGGGTGATGAGCTGTGTTGCTTTTACGCCTAACATATCGTTTTGCATTGTGGCCAAAAAGTTTGATTTTGGTTTCATCTGACCAGAGCACCTTCTTCCACATGTTTGGTGTGTCTCCCAGGTGGCTTGTGGCAAACTTTAAACGAGACTTTTTATGGATATCTTTGAGAAATGGCCACTCTTCCATAAAGGCCAGATTTGTGCAGTGCACGACTGATTGTTGTCCTATGGACAGACTCTCCCACCTCAGCTGTAGTTATCTGCAGTTCATCCAGAGTGATCATGGGCCTCTTGGCTGCATCTCTGATCAGTCTTCTCCTTGTTTGAGATGAAAGTTTGGAGGGACGGCCGGGTCTTGGTAGATTTGCAGTGGTCTGATACTCCTTCCATTTCAATATAATTGCTTGCACAGTGCTCCTTGAGATGTTTAAAGCTTGGGAAATGTTTTGTATCCAAATCCGGCTTTAAACTTCTCCACAACAGTATCTCGGACCTGCCTGGTGTGTTCCTTTTGTCTTCATGGTTCTCTCTGCGCTTTAAACAGAACCCTGAGACTATCAAAGAGCAGGTGCATTTATACGGAGACTTGATTACACACAGGTGCATTCTGTTTATCATCATCAGTCATTTAGGACAACATTGGATCATTCAAAGATCCTCACTGAACTTCTGGACTGAGTTTGCTGCACTGAAAGTAAAGGGGCCGAATAATATTGCACTGCCCACTTTTCAGTTTTTTATTTGTTAAAAAAGTTTAAATTATCCAATACATTTCGTTTTACTTCACGATTGTGTCCCACTTGTTGTTGATTCATGACAATTTTTTTTAAATTTTATATCTTTATGTTTGAAGCCTGAAATGTGGCGAAATGTTGAAAGGTTCAAGGGCACACATATATACAAAACTAATTGTTTTTCTATATATATATATATATATATATATATATATATATATATATATATATATATATATATATATATATATATATACTAGTTTCATTATTATCACCACTAGTATTAATATAATGATATTAATATTAGTAGTGCATTATACTAACACTGTTAGTTTTATGTCTAAATTACAAAATACTTCCGATTACCAAAGGAAGCACGTTTATTTTGAAGGTGTCCACCTAAACCACAGCAAAGAGCTTGACTGATGGGACTCTTTTGGGACTCGTTAAAAACAGACATAAAGCATGTCAGACACAATATTCAACTTTCTTTGCAGACAGTCAATGCGTTGGGTCGGCAACCACACGTTTTTTTTACCCCACTGTTGTTTCTGCAGTTCGCTGTCTTTTTTTTCCTTTTTTCATAACTCCGCTTCAGCGTCTCCGCCTCTGCTCTTGGCTGCGCGACTGATGACAACAGGGTGGAGGGAGGGGAGGGAGGGGAGGGTTGAAAGTGCGACGTAAGGACGTAACGTATGAGGATCATGGGAGACGGCAAGTGACAACTTTAACAACCAATCAAATGGGTGATTCTGGATAAGAAGGGCCTCGTAACTGCATGAGAGCGATGAGAAAAAAAAAAAAGAGTCCGCACTCCGGGGCCCTTCCAGCTGCGGGGCCCAACCATGGATCTAATATAATAACTGGATAAGGTATTACTAGCTTGGAGCTGAAGAACCCATGTGCTCAGGGGATTCTCGCGGTACTGCAGACTAAACCAGACTAAATTCACGTGGGCTACCCAGAAATTTTCCCCATAGAACTCAATGTAAATTAACACAGCACGACCTCAGCTGACAGAGAACCTACAACTTTAATAAAGGTCGGATTTTGTGGGGATTTTAGTGTCCCTTGTCATCCTGAAGTTTTTTCTTCTTAAATCCTTCGGTTTTCTTTAAATCCACACTTTAGTGCCACAAACTCTGCTCGTCTGGCTCTCGCTCTAACTCCCGCTCTGATGAACTGCTCTGATTGGTCAGAGCGCGGCCGAGCCCCTCTGTGCACGTGCGTGAGACCCGGTGTAACACCCACACACGTGTGTTTGGCGCAACGCATTATGGGAGATCATCCACTGCGCAGAACCGGGAGGACCAGACGATGCCCAAATACAGGCGAGTTTCCCATAGATCTTTGCGAGTTCCAGGCGACTTCCGCTAATCTTTTCGGCACCCATGCCGTCACAAAGCGCCACTGAGCACATCCATTCATTTGAATAGGGCACAATCTTGGATCGCCGGGGCTTAGGCCCTACGCATACTGCGTAGTCTGCGTATAGGAAGCGCCGGCTCTGAGAACAATGCTAACCTCTTTGCTCCATGAGGCCCTCCAGTAGGGCTGGCCAATATGGCAAAAAACTAAAATCTCGATTTTACTTCCAGCTTTGGACGATTTTGATTTTTTATCGATTTTCATTAAAGTCACCGAAGACAGACTTTGCCTGTAAAAAATATGTTTTGATCTTTCCGCTCAATATTCAAGTTTCAAAACTATTTTTAATTTGTTTCCCACAATACATATTATAAAAGTCTTGTACAGACTGTGTCCTGATATTGCAAATATAATTTTTGTGCTGCTGGAACTCTCATAATATCCTTCATACGATTTAACAATTTTCACATCTTTCACAAATTTGATTTTTTCAAAAGCCGATTAATTGCCCAAATTCGATTTATTGCCCAGCCCTACCCTCCAGGGAAGCACTCCAACTGGTTTAGCTCTCTCTATGATTCTGGAGTTTATATTGATGTTTTGTTGTAAATTCAGATATGACCAATTAGATGCCTTAATTCGTGGGGAAAGCTTTATCTTAGCAACTTTTTCTGCCCCTGATACGGGGCAAAGCTAACGCCACGGAAGAAATGCACATTTGACTAAATTGGCTCCAGCTAGCTTATGTTCAAGTGACAGTTCAAGACAGTGAAAAAGTAACGCCTTAGGGACAAGATATCCATGAACAACCAGCTGAGCTTGCATGTTCTCCCCATGTCTGCATAGGTTTTCTCCATGTGCTCCGGTTTCCCTTCCACTAAAATCATGTCAAAAAAGGCAAAAAAAACCCCAGCTCTGGTAGTCCTACACGCTACAAAAGACAGTTATATGCGTACTTTTAGATGTCAATGTTTGAACCAATAATCTAATCCTGTAAGTATTTCTTTCCTGACAAATGTGACAGCATGGTCATTACTTGATCATGAATTACATGTAAATCATCAAACAAACCAAATATATTTAAAGTCGTAACATAAATCTGAGGTTGATCACGGCTCCATAGTAGCTGTAAAAGTAGATCAAGTCAAATGCAGACTACTAAATTGCCTTACGGGGATAAATAAGTCTACCTTAGCCTTAAGTCTTAAGGTCCAATGCACACATGTCGCCTGCCTCCAGGTCATTTTGAAGTAATGTACGATACAGCAAAGGCTTAATTCCTCAATGTCTTTCTTAAATAATTTTAGTCACTTTGCAACACTTTATCCAGAATTCTGACATTCACTGCTGCTGAATCCACTGCTAATCTCCCTCTACATTGGTATTCTATGGAGCCTGTTCTCGCGCTGCCTTTGGGCCTGTCTGGGTGCTCTAAGTCCCCGTTCTTTTCACTGTGCTTCTTCTCAGACACTCCAAAATGAGAATCAGTGTGCGCGTCACATCCGCTCTCCCAGTGGAGCCCAGTGTGTCTGTACATGCCCCTTTGACGAGCGCCCACATCATCTCTGCCTCTCTCCCGCTGTCTTCCTCCCTCTTTATCTCTCTCTCTTGGTCCCACAGGTTTTAGCTAATCAGATTACTGATATGAGCGTTACTGTCACCTGCCAATCATTCCACTTGTAGGAGCACAAGGTCACATGGAGAGACAGTGTCTACCATGCACTTCTTCATGATAATCTGGATTATTTTTATTTATTTTACCTGTCTTCATTTTGAATGTTTAGGAACCATGTTTTTTTAATAAATGTATTGACTAGTTTTATATTATGTATATTTGTTCATTTTCTGTTCATTGCTTCCTTACAATAATAGATTATTTTTTATTGTGTACCTTCTCGTCTGTCCATAGCTGTTTTGAAGACGATGAGCCTCCATGCGTTGAAGAAATTGAATATTCCAAAGACTGTTTCACTTTGAAAGGAGTCGATCTGGACTCGGACGTCAACAAGAACATGACCATCTCAGATGAAGATGAAGATGAAGAGCAGAGGAGCAGCTTCAGTGCACCTCATCAGTCCACCAAGAAGACAAGACTCTATCACCTGATCGCACAGACGTCCGTGGCAACCGAGTGAAGTCACTGCTTTAGTTTGACAGAACGTGGACTTCAAAAGTCCACACTATGTGGTTTGACAATGCGTAGCATTGGGTTTATTACATTATGTAAAATAAAATTCACATGAATTCTATTTTCAATGTTGTAGTAAAAAAATGTTTTTTTATTGATGAAAAAATATATTGTAAAGCTTTATTATGTAGGAGACTACACGTGTCTTATGGTTCCGTTTATGTCATCTGTCAAGTAAGAAAGGTAACTATTAACATGAAATGTTGTAAATAGTACAGAGAGAAGGCGTTTGTAGAACCAGACACTGCAGACTGGTGTGGTGCATGTGGTTTACAATTTACACAATACTGTCTGTAACATGTGATGATCAAAGTATGAAACATTTGAAAGACCTGAATGTATTGTTTGGTGAATGAAACCGTAAATAATGTAATAAAAAAGTGTGTTATATATCATACATTTAAATTCCTGACCCTGGGCATTCCAGACCAATTGAGTCCCAACAGCGCCCCCATGCCACAAAGTGCACGTTGGCTCCACCTTTCACTTAGTGGTAAGAAGTCTGCGAGGTGTCAAAAAAGTCAAAACCGATAAAAAGCATTTACAGCTACTTACCCATGTATATTTTGTGTGCTCTACCACTTCCCAGTGCGGGATGAATAAAGGTTATCTGATCTTAAGTCTGTTGATGGTCTGGGTTTTTTGAGAAGTCCCAACCAGAGAGATGAGTTTCTCATCTCATTCAGGGGTAAAAGAAGAGAATGTATCTCAATGAATCTTGTAGCCTACCAAAGATAAGTAACCATGGAATATTAAGAGCAGATTTGGCAATGACTGATGTTTCATGCTGTTAAGTTCAACTGGAGTGACGTTATCAGATAAAGTGATAACTTGACCCAGGGGCTCCAGAGAGAGCGAGAGCAAATACGAGAAAATGAAGAGACAGCCCTGTCTCAAGCCCCTGATGGAAACTGATGACGAACACTAGTTACTGTTGGTGATCAATGGATTATTATGAAGCACCTTAACCATGTATTAATTTTATTAGTTTCCAAAACAAAATATTTATATAACAAAGATGTCAGAGTAGTCCATGGATCTATAAGCAGTGGTCCCAGAAAAGGCCAGAGCACACCAGACTCCCTCAAGATCCTGCAAATAACGGGTTTCCTGGTCAATTATGGGTTTACTTTCTAAATTCATCTGAGGAGCAAAGATTTGCAGATGTTCGGCCCTTATGGTCAGAACTGGGGATCTCCTACAACTGAATTTTTATAGCCAAAACTTTACCAGGTTTTTCATGAAGAATGCACAAATCCTCCGTCAGACGAGGCCAAGACATTTTCTGTGTTAGAAACGTGGTTACATAGAAGCGTGAACATCTATCGCCCCTGAAGACCTATCTATGTAGAGCAGAGTAAATATTGAAGTGTCGGAGCAGTTCTCCTGTTACAGTAGTAGTTAATTAGAGCAGTCAGAAGGGAGCGCTATTGATCGTCTCTGTTAATTGGACGTTTAACTGTCCAATCCCACAGGCCTGTTCAGCTCAGCTATGGTTTCAGTTTGTGTGAGACAAAGAGGAAAACCACAAGAAACATGCTGTTGCTGTATTCATGACAAATGTGTAATTTTGTTGGTGGCATTGCCTCCATTGTATGTATAATTTACTGTAACATAAACAGCACACCGTAAAAAAAACCCTGCAATTAAAGCAAATCAACCATGGGAGAAGAATTATTTAGTGATTTACCTTGCTTGCTCCACATTTAAAGTGTTCATAAAAACCTATACATACTGTAGACGGGTAGTTGTATGTGGCTCTTGAAGAGAAATACAGTGAAATATCCCGTATATTGCTGTCATTTAAGAAACATTTAGCTCTAGCTTTAGATCTTAGTTTTCAGCATCACATTTCGGGTGTGCATAACCTATTCAAAGACCGCTCCTCCGAGGCCAAGTCACCAATATCAGGTTTTCACCAAAACACAATATGAAACTGGAGCATGTGGTAAATGTGTACTATGATTTGTGATGAGTGAATAATTTAGTAGTCTGAAAGCCTCTGGTTCTACGGTAAGGCCTATTGCCCAGGGGCGCAGTGACTCATGTAAGCGTAACCCAGCCTAACCCAGGGCCCAGGCACAGTTATTGATATAGAGAGGGCTATGAAGTCAGACTATGCAAGGTTATCAACATTAATACTGGCGTCCATTGGCAGTGGCGTGCAAAAGTACTACAGCAACTTCAACTTTTTCGCATTTTGTCATGTCATTTTTGTAGCAATCACAGCAGCAAGTCTTTTGGGATATGACTCGACACGCTTTCACATCTAGAGACTGAACGTTTCTACTTCTTCCCACTGTATTTCGTACATGAAATAAGACAATTTATTATTATTATTACTATTATTTCATTTATGTATATTTCTTATCTACGTTCAATTAAACATGATTTATTTATTTTGGTGCTTTTCTTATGTATTTATGTTTACAATTGTCTTTGAGTAGCTTGTTTTAGTTACGTTTTGTAACTGTCATGTGTTTGTCTATACAAAACAGTTTCCCAGTCTGTAAAAACAATTTCTAAATGGATTAAAGGCTGGACATAGACCGGAAATTTCTAACAAATGAATACGTTTTTTGTGTGTGTTTTTTAATTATACTGTTTATGAGGATTTATTTTCAGGGTTGGCAAAGTGTGTTCTTCCCAAATCAAGCTGCAATTGTTCCATTTCTCTTCCCATACATGTGTTGAAAAGAAGGCCCACAGCATGATGCTCCCCCTACCATAATTGAGATTTTGGATGATGCCTCCAGTGTCAGTTTTTAATCAGTGCTCTCCTTCTTAGTTTTTGATTGGTCACTGTGTCTTGGGAAGTTTGCATACTCTGCCATACTCTTTGCATTTTTGCGTTAAGCGTCTACACAACTTCATTCCTGACCTCAATGATGCGGTCGTAGGACTTTAATATGATGCGGTCGTAGGACTTTAATATGATGCTTAGTGACAAATACGCTCTAAACAGAACTCCTTACAAAAAGTCATTAGGAAATGTTCAAAGACAATGTTATGCACTCAGAGAAATGTTATAAGAATACATGAGCAACCCCACTTCTTCATTACTGTATTTTTGTTTTTTTTCTATTCATAAAAATCAAGTATAGTTTTGCTTTCACTTCACAGTTTATTGTCTGTGGACATTAAAAAAAATCTGTTGTAAAAATGTTGTCATGATGTGCAAATGTTCAAGTTTCATTTCATTTGTTAATTCATTTCAAGCTGCATGTAAAACTGCCATGCAAAAAAGTGTATACATTTGTCAATATTTGAACGGACAAGGGAAACATTTGTGACAAAAATAAAGGCGATTTTCACAATATTGAGCAAATAAATACAAATATGCAATTACAATTTCATCTGTGGTGTTTACACCGGTCTGTACCGGCCCACAGAGCACACAGGCACTGCATAATAACAATTATAGTCAAGTTGATATGAAAACTGATACATGAGAAACCACAAATTGATCGAGTTGAAAGTAATCTGTGTGTTGAGGCTTTTCCAGACTCGGAGGAGAACCTGATACTGGGGGAAACTTGTATCTCCCACTGAATATCAGAGAATGAGTATATAGGAACGATTCCCAGCGATTCAGTCATTGAACTGTCTATTTAAAAAATAAAAAATAATACAAAATTATATATATATATTTTTTTTTTGTTCATATCTCAAAGTCAAGAATATTGCACAACTATGATAACTATACACAATCTGACAACATTTCATTTTCATCTGACGATTAATACTGGGGGTGAAAGTACTGATAAATTTGGTCTGGAGCAGCCGTTAAAGTGCAACAGTATCTGGAGGTCAGACCTCAGTAGCGCAGACCCAGTATGGATTTTCAGATCTGAGGCCTTCAGGGAGTTCGGCCTCAAAGCAGAGACTTATACTGTAAATGTACCAGTAAGAAAAAATCTCTTATTCATGAGCCATTTACTTAATTTACGTTTTTAAATTGACCCATTAATCGCAAAAAATTGACTGTGTGTGGGTGCGTGATCTGCGGGTATAGATCACGCCGGTATAGCTCTAGTTATAATTCTTAGAGTTTGTAATGGATGAAAACCAGTTTGATAGATTTAAATATGTACTTATTTTTGAATATATGATACCCCAGCTTTAAATGTATCTCACAAAGCCTGTATACTGCCGCTTGACATTTAGAATAGAATAGGCTCAAATAAGCACGGCCTATGATTGTTTTGTAATGTTTCTTTATTATGATGACCAAAATAAATCAATTATGTTTATTTGCTTGAAATCACTGAGATCCTGTCTACGTCACAAATGGGTCTCTATAGCACTGCTTGGAATGCTGTAATTGTGCATTGGTATGTGAGTGTGTTCACAGTAAAGTGACAATTGAAGTATCTGGACTTTAAAACGTTATAACTTAAAAACTAAAATTACTTTCATAGATTGGAAAAAAGATTTCAAACACAGACAGATTGAAGAGATAGTGTAAAAAAAATTCAAAAGGAAAGATTGACATAAAAATGTTTAGCAACATTTTAAACAACCAAATGAGCCTCTGATTGGACCATTCTACTGTGACGCCAGTTACATAGAAAATAAATGTCCTCAGTCTGAAAAAGCAGAAGATGAAATCCCACAAGATTTACATGGTTAACACAACAGAAGGAAATCACTTGATATAAAAAGGAATCGTAAAAAAATTAAAAATAATTAATTAATTAAATTACCCCTGAAAAATGTATAACGGACGTGATGAGGACGGTCCTCTTTTCTCTAAAAATTAAACTTGAGAAAAAAAACATCTGGTCTGTTTTCACATTTAATTAGTTGATAATATGAAAGTATCACTTTGCATCTACTTTGTGTAAAAAAAATAGAATCTCTGAATCAAATGTGGACATCTGAAAATACCTATCAAACTTCCACAAAGCCCATTCCGTCAAATCATCACGTCCATTAGGTAAAATA